ACGACTCATCAAAGAAGCTTCTTTTTTCAACTGATGGAGACTATTACAAAGTTCTACAACTGGTCAAATGCAGAGAATAAGTGACTTTGAGGTACTCAGCCCTAAGTCTTCCAATGGAACCTCTGTGGTTAAAGTTCAGAAAACATAGTGGAATGGCAGGGTATTAATGCATCTCTCAACTCTCACCAGTAAGGATTCCTCATGCAACCATTGGCAATTCTCTCAGAAAGTCACAACTGGCCAAAAGAGAACTTATCCCTGATTAGGACGCCTGTATCAAATGTCTGTCACCCAAGGCTCAGGAATTATTGCGGAAGAAAGGGCAGAAAGATTTTAAGGGTCAGAGGTGATTGACAACCATAAGAAAATGAAGTTTTCCAGACAACTGGGAAGTTATTCGTATGAAATCAAGCAATGGTAACACCATGCACATACCCATGCTGTGCACAAAACTCAGCCTAGAATTGGGGCATTGGGTAAGAAGCCCCAACTTAATTGAAGAGCTATTGCCAGCTCCTAACAGGTGAGAGATGGAGAGTTGATTTACTTTAAGGATGTGGCACCAGGTAGCTTAACCCGACTCTAATGAATGGACACACCGCAAAAGACATATGGGGGTACAGACATGCTTTGCTAGGCCCTAACGTATATTGACAGAGTACAGGAAATTTGGCGGGGTGGGGTGGGGGCAGGGCTATAAGAGGGTCACTGATACGGAAAGATGGGAAAATACGGTCAAAGAATACTGCCTGACCTTCACAAAAATTCAATTTCAAAAAAGAAGAAACAATAACAACAAAAGAAGCGAAAAATGATAACCTATTGTCTTTGGGCTTTTTGTCCTATCAAGAAGTTTTTAGCTTGAAAAGTCCTCTAACTAATGCGATACTGAATCACCTTGTAAACGATTTTCACATTGATTCTTCAGCATTAGCGTCTTCCAAGGAAAAGCTTTATGTGCCTTGATGTCATAGGAGTTTTGTTTGGGTGTGATGGCAGAAGTGTGAGCGTGACGGGCGTGAGTGTGTTATAGGCACAGAGGCCAGCAGGCCTGTGTGAGATAAGCTTTACTTCTTCCCTGAGACTATTCTCGGGGAACCTTGAGGGCTTGATGATCATTGCGGATTTCTGTGTAAGCGGGCCAGCCTTCTGTTATTTCCCCATCCATATGACCGAGTGGCACATACACATGACAGTGGAGCATACATATCACAATCAGGGTTGCTCTGACAACGCTAGCTAAACATTTGCCTTTGCGGAATGTTCTCCCCTGAGTAGCAGTGTGAGGGTGAGGAACTGAAGAAGCAGTGGTTCTTGACCTCTGAGTCCTCCTTCGAGCTGGAAAACAGACACAATTAAACAGATACGTAAGTGGTGGTTAAATGCACGCCTTGACGGTTCCAAGACCAATGCTGAACACGTGCTTAAGAATTGAGTCTTTACTTCCAATTGGGAAGTTTAAGGACAGGTCACAGATGGATGGTCACATTTGGCCAGAGCCTGGAAGTGCTTAAGTGTCTACAGTCAGAAGAGAAGAGTAAAAGATATTTTAGAATATAAAAAAAAGAAGAAAGAAAAGCAAACAGACCACGATTGTGCAAGCACTGTGCAGTGTGCTTCTAGGGAAGCTGCTCTATCAGTGGGCTCTGGACCAGACATGTAGGATGTAGCAGGATGAGCTGTAGCTCCTCTTGATGCCCGATGCCTGACATGCTGTAGAGGTTGCCTAGTGGACCAGAGCACGTTCAGCTCTGGCCAAGGACCCAAGTTCAGATCTCAGCAAACACATCACGCGGTCCTCAACCACCTTTATCTTGAGCTCCACTGGATCCGATGCCTTTTTATGGTCTCTGTGGATACTTTACTCATGTACACAAACCCACTCAGAGACATACACAGATACATGTAGTTAAAATTAAAAATAAGAGCTTCTTTAAGGGATGGATACCTTGAAGGAGGTGCTGAAAAGTTTCCCTTCACCTGTAAAAAATAGGATCCAATTAGAAACTTTGAGAAGACAGAGTCTTGCTTCTACCGCAGGAAACAATAACGAAAAATCATGAAGAACACATTAGAAGAGGATGATGCCACGGAGAGATGAGTCCAAAGGCAGTTTGAAGGTGGAGAGGAGAGATGGAGAAAACTAAAGTCCAGTGTTCATCTCCGCTGAAGACACATAAGTCTTGGCCATTTCTGGAAGTACACTGTGCACCAGACAACTTGGTGCTTGTTTCTCCAAGAACAAGTCAAAAAGTTGTATACTAAAAAGATAACATACTTTGTATGAAAAGGGCCTTATTTGGTGGAAGGAATTTAAGTAAGGGCTTGTGCAAGGAAACTCGGGTAAGAAGCCTTTATCCTAGACTTGGGACTCATGTGACAGTTGGTTAGCAGAAATGTATTATTCCTTCAATAACACCTTGTAGCTAAAATTCCTCCTACGTGGCACAAAGATTTGCCCCCCTCATTGACTCCTATGACAAACTGAGGTACAATTTTGCCAAAACAGAGTCTGGGTAACCAGTGAGCTTGAGGGGCTTACTTACACACCAGTGAATGAGATTTTAACTCTCAGGAGTGCTCATCTCCTAAGGCTGCACTGCAAAGTCTCCATCCAGGCATGGATAGTGACTTCCCCACAGCCACACACAATGGCCTAGGGTGTCTTCAGCTTATATCCTCTCACTCCTCCCCTGTTGCCACTAGGAACGACTGGTTCCTCTGGACATGTGGCTGACTCTCCCTGCCCCTCCTTTCTAGTGGACTGTAACAAGTCAGTAATTGGCAGGTAGATGCAACCAAGGTTGGGCAAAAGGCTTCTGTCCATAGTCTGCCAGTTGGAGGAAAGTCATATATAACACACCTCCACTGTGAAGTGCTGCACACAGTACAAATGTATGGTATACGCTTGCAAAACAGTAGATGAGGTTTCATGCCAACCAGGAGCATGCAGTTTACCAGAACAACAATTTCTAAGGGAAATATCAATTCTTCAAAAAGCACATCTTTCCTATACTTTCTGTGTGGCTTTTCATAGTTTGAAATGTACAGCAAAGGAGAGGATTCAGAATGAAGCCCGAGACAGATCTTTGTTCCAGGAGACTTCCTCCATCTCCCTCCCATTGAACCACCTCATGTTACCAATGTGGATAAATCACTGTTGACCCACGTCACACAGAAGATTGGGAGACAAATTGAGGAGGAAATATTGGCATGCTGCCGCAATACAATAGCAAATCAAAATGGGGAATTTACTCATTTGATGAATGCATTCTTTAGAAAATATCTTTTAGCAATCAATGACCTTTCAAACACATATTAATATGGTATTTTACACTACCAAGCTACAAATTTTGCTTTAAAATCCTAATGCACGCACTATGGAAATCCATGTGGAGGTTTCCCAAAAGACAAAACACAGGATTAACATTGGTTCAGCCATAGGACTCCATGGAGTTGACACTCAAAGGAATTTAAGCTATTTTACTATATGGATATTTGTGTATCATGGAGCCAAGCAGGGTGCTCACCCACAAATGAATACATCCGTTAAATGTGGTACATATGCACAATAGAGTTCTAGTCAGTTAAGAAGGAAACGATGTCATTTGTCAGAAAATGAGTGGAACTGGCCATTATTAAGTAGAATAAGACTCAAAAAGATAAGTTAGCACGTATTGTGTGTGTGTGTGTGTGTGTGTGTGTGCGTGCGTGTGTGTGTGTGTCTTTCTGAAAACCATGGACTGTAAAGTTGAATCAGAATGGAATCTTAGTGACTAGGAAATAGAGGGAGGGGGGATAATTGTAGGGAACTATACTTGTAGTAACACTGATCAATGGAAATGTGAAAGAGAAACTATTTTGTAAAATTAATGTGCACCAACAAAAAAATCTTTAAATGTTCCCAAACAGACTGAACATGAATTCATTAAAAAAGAAATGAGTTATGATTTAGTAAGGATACCAATATACATCAAATCTTATGTTTTAGGCTTTGAAGTTTTCTAGTTTCCTCCTTGTCCAAACTCGAAACAGTAATAGAAAAAACAGGAGCACTTTTAGATGTGCTTCTACAATAAGTATTTGATGTTGTAGGCAAATAAATGCCTATTCTTATAGCAAAGAGCGACCAGTGAACGTGGCGTGTGGACAGCATTCCACTTCACTCTGCCACAGGCTCTAACTCATTCAGTTCCTTCTACACGGTTATTAATATTTGTATGATAAGCGTGTTTTAAAGTTGCCTGTCTACAATGCCTGTTATTTGAAGTCATGGATCTGAGGCGCTGAGCTGCCAGAGCTTTGCATGCACTAAGGTATGAAAGGGAACCAGAATGATTAACTGCTTTTAGATGAGACACCTGTGAGGGACTTTTGACGCCAGGCACTCACTCATGCCAAAACCAAACATTATAAACTCATTATTTTCCAACTGTAAACCATCAAGTCGATAGAGGAGCAGCAGGAGCAATCTCTTAGGGGTTCCAAAAGAACTGAACCTGAGAGACTTGGCAATAGGAGGGGATATAACTGTGCAAAAATTATGTCCTCTTAAAGGAAAGACTCCCGAGATGGGAAGAACAGCCAACCCGAGAACCGTGTTATAGTTCCCTTATAAAGCGCGCAGAGAAACAGAAATGCAGCGAGCTTGTTAAACACAGACAGGGAATATGAGTTAACACTGCAATGACTGCCTTGGTTTGAAGTCCACGTTCACCTCCAATGCACCAATCTGTAATCAGAATTTATTCAGGGCAACACGCAAGGAAGGAAAAGAAAAAAGAATCGGAATGGCCACTCTCCAAACACGAAGGACCGAACTTGGCACCAGGAGCCTTTCGCCCTGAAATTCGGTGTTTGGAAGAGGGTACTTTTACAAAAGGAAATAGAAAATGACTTGTTAGTGGCTGAGATTGGTGTCATAGTAATAGATTTCTTTCCCTGGCTTTTACTTGAATTTGATTTCCACGGATTGGTTTAATCACTATGGTCTGTTCCAGGCGTACCACTGAGACCCCGGAAAGAGCTACGATTTACTGAACTCAAGTCTGGACAGCTGGAGATTAAATGGTCCTCAAAATTCAATATTTCCATTGAACCTGTAATCTATGTGATACAACGACGGTGGAATTATGGCATCCATCCCAGCGAAGACGACGCCACACATTGGCAGACAGTGGCCCAGGTAAGCCACTCATCATTTGGGCTCTTTAACCTGGAGGAGGTTCTACCGCATGTATTAAGAAAAATCAAACAGAGCTGCAATCAGCCAAAGGAGAAAATGCTGTCATTCCTCTCTGCTCAATGCAGCCGGGATCTAAAGAGCTATATGATTTCCCCTAGAATCTTGACTACCAATTCCCTCAAAATACACACAGGCGAGGGAGACACAATGTAGTTGCCCCCCATGCTAGTTTTTTTTTCCTGAAAAAACCCAAATTCTCTAAGCAAAATCCAAATGGAGTCAGACAAGAAAAAAGTAACATGTAACAAATAACTTTTTATTTATGCTTTATTATTTTTATTTTGGTACATATGAGTGTATTGCCTTCATATATGTAAGTGCACCCACGTCATGTAATGCCCCCAGAGGTCAGAAGAGAGCATCGAAGTCCCCTGGAACTAGAGTTATGCACTGTTGTTAGCCACCATGCCGGTGCTGGAATTCAAACCTGGGTCTTTTGAAAGAGCAGCCTGTGCTCTTAAACTGCTGAGCTATCTCTCCACCCCAGTGAGTGATATTTAATAACTGAAGTGATTTCCATTTCACTTGTCCTGAATTCAAGCTTTCGTTCCTCCCAAAGCCTTAGGTAGCACAGTGCGGATTCTCCTCAAAGAAACACTTAGTGGGGAGTAGCCAGCAGCCCTTAGAGCTCTGCCGAGTGATTTCATTCTTAGTCCACTTAAAAACTGGCACGTCATCTGAATGCGAACACTCCCAGAGTTTACCTTCACGGTATCACCATCTCATATGTCTTCTTGGTGAAGAAAGCAAAATATTGCCTTTCTTCTGAAGAGCTGTTAAGGGGACTTACAGCTCAAAGAAAATAAACAGGTAACCCAATAAGAAAACAAATAAACAAAAAAAGTGGGCTACGTTCACATAGAAAAATAAATTTCTAATGTGAAACTCAAATACTTCCCCCATATTTTTATGTTCATAGGGAGAATGTCTTCCCCTAAATTCAACAGGATCATCACTGTCCAGGAACTTGTGTCCTACTTTGGGCTGTTTACTTATTTGTTTTAGTTAATGTAAAGTAAATCTCATGACTCAGGAGTTTGGGAGAATTTGGCCTTTTTCTCACTAGCACAAAGTCTAAGAGGAGAAGCGCTAAAATAAAACAGAAAGTTGGATCTGAAACAAACAGCTGAAGACGCTCCTTCAGCACACACCTGTAATCCCAGTGTGCTCTGCGGGCAGACACAGGAGAACAAGTTCAAGCCAGCTTCAGCTACTTGGAAGTTCCAAGTCAGTCTGGGCTTCATGGGACCCTGTCTCCAAAAATATAACAAATAAAAAAAATAAATAAATAAAAAGGATTTCAAATCTGATATTATAAAGAAAAATTATAAAAAGAAACATATTCTATTATTTTTATTGATCCTTTGTGAATTACATATAATGAATTTGGAGCATGTTCAGAGCCCCTCACCCAGCTCTTCTCAGACCGCCCCTGCCTCACAACACTGCCCCATCACTTCATATCCTCTATTATTTTCCTTGAGCCCTATCAAGTCTAATCTGTGATTTCCAAATAGTCTTGACTGTAGCACTACCCCCTGCAAAGGGATCGACCTAGCCAGCATCTTACCCTCAGTGGAAACTGTCTCCCTCTCCCAGCCTCCCTTGTTCACAAGATAGGTGGGATCAACACTGGGAAAGTGACCCTTCTACCCAAAACAGTCTACAGATCCAACGCGATCCCCATAAATTCCAGCACAATTGTTCACAGAAATTGAGAAAAGATGATCTCAAATTTCATATGGGAACACAGTGGATGGAGGATAGTCAACCCAATTGTGAACACTAAAAAGCTGGAACCATCCCTGTTGTCTTTTTACCCTCAGGGTACACTAACTTGACTGGCTAAGACTTAACACAAGTGACAGAATGCATGAAATCCAATCAGGGGGTGCTACGGGGGTTGTCAGTGAGGAAAGGGGTATAAAGAGGATTCACGTGTGTGTTTGAAATACATAATAATTCAATTCAAAGTATATTGCCGGGCTTGGTGGCACACGCCTTAGATCCCAGCACTTGGGAGGCACAGGCAGACGGATCTCTGTGAGTTCAAGGCCAGTCTGGTCTACATAGTGAGTTCCAGGACAGCTTGGGCTATAGGGACACCCTGTCTCAAAAAGACCATAAAAAGTATATTAAAATAAAAATAAAGAAATTTTTTTAAGTATGCATCAGGCTTGGTGAGATGGCTCAGTGGGGGAGGGTGTTTGTTGCCAAGTCTGATGACCTGAGTTTGATCCCCAGGACCCACAGGGCAGAGGACTGATTCCTACAACTTGTCTTAGGAGTGCTACTCGAGCTTCTGCAAGCATGTTCCCACATGTACACACACACACACATACACACACACACACACACTACATAAAATGTAATAAAAGAATATCTCAGCTTCAATAAAACTTGGACTTACCTGTCATACAAACTTAATGTCCATTTGACTTCGTGGTCAGGTGTGAATTTTCTAGGTTGTTTCAAAACTTATGGAAATTGATACAGCAAGTCAAGCTGCAGGTGATGACTTAATCTATAATCCCAACACTGGGAGGTCACAGTTGGAGACCAGTCTACCAGTTTACAAAGTGAACTGTAGAGCTCTTTGAGATACAGACAGATCCTGTCTCATGACAAAGGCATCATCTGTCTGATGCCCTCTTTAATCATTACTATCACTATTATTACTGTTATTATTTAGGCACTTAACAGCTCCTGCAGATATCTTTGTTAAGTGTTATGACAACATGCTGATGCTTATTTATTTTATTTTATTGATTATTTTTATTTTCTGTGTACGAGTGTATTGCCTGCTTGTACACAAGTGTTCCATTGTCACGCAGTGCCCTCGGGGGCCAGAAGAAGGCATTAGATTCCCCTGGAACCGGAGTTAAGGATGGTTGGGTTGTTAGCTACCATGTGGGAGCTGGGAATCCACCCTGGGTCCTCTGCAAGAGCAGCCAGTGCTCTTAAGCCCTGAGCCGTATCTCCAGCCCCAAACTCTAAACGTTTTAAACTCCCAGTTAATCAGATACAAGACCAAGATGACAGGCTGATACTTTTCTTGGATCTCAGAAGCAGGCAGAAAGGGCAGACTCTAAGTCACTTGGTATCTTCAGGATGCAATGTGATTTACACAAACCTTAAAAAAATTGTCTTGGATCTAGCTAGCCAAAATTCCTGCATAAAAGTCTAAGATCTCGAGGCCCTAACCCTTACTGGTGAGCTATTGAAGATAAAGACTTGCTGGGGGGGATGGAGAATTTTTTTTTTTTTTTTGAGGATGTGGCCCCTGGCAGCTTTCCAAAGCTGCACAGGATGGCCCCACACCCACTACTGGCCCCACCTTTGGTCAGCAGTAACTGGGCTTCATGGGTTAGAAAAAAAAGTCATGAGGTTGGAAGGGGGTATACTGGGGGAGACATGGGAGATGTTGGATAGGAGAAATCAGGGGTACATATGATCATATTTCATTGTATACATGTATAACCACCCCCCAAAAATAAAGAGAAATTCAGTTATCACTGTTTGCTTTTTGAAATTGATCATCTTGTTTTAAACATCTTGGTTCTATTTTTTAAAAATTGATGTTTTTTTTGACTGTTATACCTGCTTAAGTTAGTAAGTGCACCTATGTCTTGCAATGCCTCTGGTAGACAGGAGAGGGCCTTGGATCTCCTTGAACTGGAGTTTCAGGTGGTTGTGCACCCCCATGTCGGTGGTGGGAACAGAACTGAAGTCCTCTGCAAGAACAGCCAGGGCTCTTAACTGTTGAGCCATCTCTCCAGCCCCAACAGCTTTGTTCTTATATCTACTTCCAAGATTATATTTGTCATGCAAGGTAAAGAGGGATTTCTGGCATGGATGACTCAGTCGGTAAGGTGTGTGCCACACAACCATGGAGATCAAAGTTTGGATCCCCTACTGGAAGACTCTTGACATTGACCCCTGGCCTCCACTCACATAGGCATCTATGTGCCCATGTACCCACGGGCGCATGTGCACATACTCACACATATACATCCACTCAACTCACGCATACACACACACAGAAACATGCATACACAGAGATTTTCCCTCCTGTAGCTAAAAATGATTTTATTTTCTTTCCTATAATAACTGGATATGATTTTTTTTATTGATTTAACTCTTTCAAAGCTCTTTTTACTCACCAGATTTATAAACAGCCCAAGCCTTTATGAAGAGGTTTTGATTTGGGGGAACGTTGAAGTCTTTGGGATATAATTACCAACAATTGCCAACAATTATTTCCATATGGGGATATGATCAGCTGGTCTTCCCCATAGTGAATTCAAGGTTGCATTGGTGTATGAGTATGTGTGTTTGAAAAAAAGCACAAAACACCCAGCTGATATGTCAGAATCAAATTTGATGCCTTCTTTGAGCTGTGTAACATTCCCGTTCAGATCACAGATGAGAGGTTGCATCTGACCGACATCAGACCCAGCAGGTGGTACCAGTTCAGAGTGGCTGCTGTCAATGTGCATGGGACCCGTGGCTTCACAGCCCCCAGCAAACACTTCCGCTCTTCCAAAGGTCAGTCTTCAGGTCCTGCCCCAGACCCTGGGACACCTGGAAAACACATTCATTACCTCCATTTTGGCATTGATGGTTGGCCAACAGGTAGCTTTGATGTGCCTACAGAATGGGACCAGATGTGTTTCAAGACACTGGGTAAATTTATTGTAACGGGTATCAGTGGACTTTTACCTTCAAGATGACCCATGAAATAATGTAATGGGTTTCTCTAAACTTTGATGTGACAGTTTTTCATGTTCAGCTAATGTTGCATTTTATTTTTACTTTATATGTTCTTCCTGAAGAATCATTCAACTAATTTTGGGGGAAAAAGGTTGAGTTTTAGCTACTCCAAATTGCACATAGTCTTTCTTGAAACAATTGTTAAATTCTCTCGGTGTGAATTCATCTTATACTTTGGTTTCGTCACATGCAAGACTTAATCCTCTCCCGAGTCCTTTGATCATTGGTGTAATTTTGTTCAGATCTTCTTTCCTTGCAACTTCCAAACCTCCATGGAACCAGATGTACACTGCAGTCCATTAGTGACTCATTTACTCAGTAAGAATTGATAGAATTTGACTAGAGAGTAATAATATATTCAAGTCTCCATATGGTTCTCCTGCACCTTCAAAATTAATTTAGCATCTGCCTGACTAATCACTGAGACCTGGTATCATAGAAGAAGATCTATTTTGCACACTTACAATCCTGAAGCTGTCCCCCGTCGTGGAATATAACATAAATTTATTTTAAACAAATATGCTATGATATTAATGACCTAGGAAGAACTGAGTGCTAGAAATTGCAAGTTCCATGATTGGAAAATCTTTACATTTCACTCTATCACTGTATAATAGAACTAATATTTTCTCTCCTTTGTCACAGATCTCAGGAGAGAAATTTGCAATCAAAATAATTTCATATTTGGATTCTATTACAGTGCATATTATGACTTATAAACACTATATTGAAAAAGACATTTTTTAAAAGGTTTGTTTCCCCCCCTCATAGAAGCAGAAACAACCATACAATCATTAATAGGAAATCTTAAAAGAACCAAACTCTGTTTTAAGAGCAGGCAAGACTGTGTTTCCAGCTGCTGTGACTGACCATTTCCAGAAACTTGTGAAATAAATAATTAATGATCATAGCAGGTTAGGAAGAAGGGATGGATAAACGACTTGAGGACTCTTCACCTCGGTTTCACGGTTCAAATGTGATCCAGATACATGAAAACCAAATGCTTGCCATCTGTTCAGGGTGTGGGCGGGCACTTTCTGAGCAAGATCGCAGCCTCAGACATCAATCGAAAGACAGTCTAGCCTCTCAGTCATGTCGCAGGAACGGTCAAGAGATGTTAGCACCTCCTGCCCCCTGCAGGTGGGAAGATGGCTTGCTCCCATGATTCCTTGCAGAGTCTTGCTCTCCCCAAGGACCTTCAGACCTGGGCTGAGGTCCAGTGACAGGCCCCATGGCTGGTTGTAGGGTGCAAAATAGAACTGGCTCCACTCGTCCTACTCTAATAGAAGAACTAGTTTAGAATTAGAGCTGTAGCCCTGCCTGGAACTTAATTTGACCTCCGTGGATTGCAAACTCACCATTTCTTAAAACATAGCCGCACCATTAGAATGTTCCATTTCCCACAATTTACAGATGTCCCATAAATTCACACTTGCATACAGTCATAAGGAAGATCCTCGTTGACTTTCATTCCTGCCCTATTGCAAAATGAAAACACCTGCAAGAAAATTCCGAGTGGACGTTCTGATGTCCTTAGGGAAGGCACATTGGACAACACTCCAGGTATCGCAGAGTAACTAACTGTTGAAGACATTTCCTTCAGGGTCTGTCCAAAGGAGATCTCACCACTGCAAACATAGCACAGCACTCCCACCTTACTAAATCTCATCAAGTGGAGAAAGGACCAACTAGGAAATATTATCTAACATCCTGTTTCAAATAGAATTTATACACTAAAAAGCTCATTCATTACAAATCCCCAATATACTGGGGCTGGACAAATGGCTCAGTAGTTTAAGAGTACTGGCTGCTCTGGCAGAGGACCGGAGTTCAATTCCTGCACAGCACTCCCACCTTACTAAATCTCATCAAGTGGAGAAAGGACCAACTAGGAAATATTATCTAACATCCTGTTTCAAATAGAATTTATACACTAAAAAGCTCATTCATTACAAATCCCCAATATACTGGGGCTGGACAAACGGCTCAGTAGTTTAAGAGTGCTGGCTGCTCTGGCAGAGGACCGGAGTTCAATTCCCGGCTCCCACATGACAGCTGACAACCATTTATAACTCCAATTCCAGGAGGATCCGATGCCTTCTTCTGACTTCTGAGGGCTTTGCACAGCAAGGGTGACCTTACACGCACTCAAGAAAAACTCTCATACTCGTAAAATAAAAACAAATACTTAAAAAAAAAAAAAAAGGATTTAGGGCTGGAGAGATGGCTCAGCAGTTAAGAGCATGGGCTGTTCTTGCATAAGACCCAGGTTCAAATCCCAGTACTCACATGGCAGCTAATAACCATCCGTAACTCCAGGTCCAGGGGATCTGACACCCTCTTCTGATCTCTGCAGGACATGGTTGTACTTTCATACATGCAGTGTAGGCAATACACTCATACACATAAAATAAAAATAATAGAGTTTAATCACTAATGTCCAGATTGTTCCACTCAATGAGATAGTTCCAAGTGAATTTTGGGGTATGCTGGATACCCTCAACTTGACACAACCAGAAAGAGGAAACTTCAACTGGCAAACTTCTTCCATTGGCTGGACCTGTGGCCATGTCTGTAGGCCATGTCCTTGACTGTTCAGTGATGTGGGAGGGCCCAGCCCACTGTGGGTGGTGTCACCCCTGGGCAGTTGCTCCTGAGTTATACAAGAAAGCAGGCCGAGCACAGGCCAGAGGAGCAAACCAGTGAGCAGCGATCCTCTATGGTCTGTACTTAGCTCCTATCCCCAAGTTCCTGCCCCAAGCTCCGGCCCCGTGATGCATTCTAAGCTGTAAGGTGAAAAAAACATTCCTTCCCGAGTTGCTTATGCTCACTGTTTTATCACAACAAGAAGCAGCCAGAACAGTGGGCCTATCTCTAAAAACAGGAATTATCTAAGCGTACATTGGTGAGTGAATTTTTAAATGGTGCCTTTTCACCCTATTAAGGTCCAACTAGTGGCTTAGGGAACGGTTCATAAGGAGATGCTACTTCCATAGTAGCAAAGGTTATTAAATGGTAAACAATTATCTAATGCAACTGGAGGTGAGGAGAGATTCACCCCTGAGCATGTCAAGCCAGACCAAGGAAAATAAGAAAGGAATTTTCTGGGGCTAAAGAAATGGCTCAGAGATTAAGACTGCTCTTGCAGAGGACCTGGGTTCCATTCCCAGCACCCACGTAATGGCTAACAACCATTCATGACTCCGGATCCAGGGGATCCAATGCCCTCTTCTGACCTCCGCAGGCATTGTACAACATGGGTGCGCTTACACACAGGTAGGCAATACACGCCTACACATACAATTAAAAATAATAAAATTTTTTTGAAAAGAAAGGAATTTTCCATCATGAAAACCACTGAAAATGAAAGTAAGTTAAAAAGAGAAAGGAAGAAAATTGATAAAATGGGTTTCATGGTCTGCTACTTGCCTCTTCTTTAACTCAGCAACTACAGCGTTCCTCTTTCACAGGCTATCCACAAATGAAAATATGGGTATTAATAGTTTAGTGAATGAAATGTAGTACAGCGGTGAAAGGAATCCTGCTGGGTGCTGGCTAGCTTTGTCAGCTTGACACAGCCTAGACTCAACCAGGAGGACTGTCGACTGAGGAATTATCTAGATCAGGTTGGCCTGTGCGGGGGTTCTGTGCAGGACTGCCTTAAGGATGGGTGATACATGGAAGACTTCAGGACGTTGGGGAAGTGGATTAGGTTTATTAGGTGAGAAGCTACAGACTGCAAAGGAGACAGGACACGGGGCTTTAACCAGGTAGCTCTGGCACATGAGCAGTCAGTGTAGTGACAAGGAGCCAGGATGGTGTCTTGGGTCCAAGTGTTGCAAATGTCAAAAAGCAGCCACATTCCAGACACATTACACCCCAGAAACATTCAGAAGTTGCTCCTCATTGTGCAAACAATATTACAAATTGGATATAGATACCAAACAACTTGGTTCCAAATGTAACGTTGCTAAAGAGATGAAAGTATTAATACCATTTTGAGAAGACCAGGTTAGTTACTGGCGAGTTCATTATTACAAATCAAGCTCTTCCTCATCCACACACTCTTCTCTTCCACATATGTCCCCTTCCCCATCTGCCTCCCCACCATCAGAGGATGCTGTGGCACAAGGCCCTCACCAAAAGGGGACCAGATAGTGGCACCGTGCACTTGGAGAATGATGAGCAGAAACAAAAACAAAAACTTCTGCATAACATTGTCAGCCTCAGATATTTTGTGATAGCATCAAAAAAAAAAAATCCAAAGGCAAGGAGGTAGGAGTAGAAAATAAATATATAAAGTTTAGGTTGTAGCAAGAGGAAGCATCATTTTTCTTTACTGGGATGGGATAGCCTGTAATAGAAATGGGTATGCGGACTGGATGGCAAGGTTGAAACATCTGAGTCACTACCACAAAGACTTTTTTTTTTTTTTTTAAAGCTATGAAGCTGTGTGAGGTCCCTAGAGACAGACAACTCATAAATGATGGGGGAAAGGGTCACTGAGCCCAGAAGGTAGGCACTCTCCTGTTTAGAGGTGGTCACTTTTAGAAGGACCATGGGACAGGGGCCAAGAAGTATCAGCTATGGAGGTTATCGTGCAGAAACACCTGTGTGCTTTACATAAAAACTTATCCATTCCTGCTCTTCAACTTAGACTGCCTCAATCAATACATCCCACTACAAGTTTTGGGCACCCATAATGTTTCCTTTTTTTTATAACTTTTTTGAGAATTTTGTCTATGAATATACCATATTTACATAATGCATGTCCCCATGCAAATCCCCTATCCCACACTCTCCCATGACCTCTTCTTTTATAATTGTTATTGTTAAATATATATTATATATACACACATATACATATTATATACATACACATATATATTTGCCTATACACACACACACATATATATACCTAATAAGTCCATTTAGTGGCAATATGTGCATGTTTAGCATTGACCACTTGGGATTGGACACCCAATCAGGGAACTCATCCCTGGAGAAAACTGATATTCCCTTTCTCAGCACTCAGCCCTTAATTGCCTGTAGCTCTTTACGTAGAGGCTGACTATGTGAAATTTCCCTTGTGAAATTGGCGTGCTGACTGGTGGATGTCATTATACAGGTCTTGTTTAGGCAACCATGCTCCTAAGATGTCGCGCATCGCAACGTCCCTGTGATGTCTAGAAGACACTCTCTCACAGAAGGCATCGTGTTCCTCTGGCCCTTACAATCTTCTGCTGCTCTTCCTCTGGGTCCTTTGAACGTTGTGCATACGGGCTACATTGTAGCGGTCCCAAATTGGGACTGCGCATGCCACGGTCACTTATTCTCTGCATTTGAACGAATTGTTGAGCTATCCTCTGTGAAAAGAAGTAAGAGTGGTGAGGGCCAAAAGCTGCACTATCTCCCACCCAGGCACTTAATACTCATTGTTGAAAAAGCATTTGATTTTGCAAGAACGTGTAGCGTGCTCCTTTGGAACAGGCCCCAGATGAAAACCAGCTAGAGTAGTAACTTTCTTTTTTTATCATAAAATTTTTATTAATATATATTAAGTGTATATAAAAATGGGTTTATGCCATTTTCATACATATGTATGAAATATTCATTATGTACAGAAGGCAGCAATTAACGTAATTCAGTCTGCAGGAAGTATGTACATCACAGAGAAAATCAGGCAATTTTGAAGTACAGTTTATGTTTCTGTTTTACCTAAACTACGAGCATCACTGAAAGGAAAAATATGGGTCAGGTGTTTTTTTTTTTTCAAACCCTAACCACATCTCCTGAGTTAGGTATATGTTCCTTGTACATTCCAGTGCAAACAGTGTTGTAACTGGAAGTATTAATGACGTTTTACTGTGCGGGTATTTGTGAGGAAGCCATCTGTAAGTCATTTGTAGTGAGTGGGACCAACGCTTGTTCAGTCTGTGGCTAAACGCGCAGGAAACACCTACTAGCTGCACTTTTTTTCTTCTTCTTCCAATACATATTTTCACCTGGAGATTTGTGGGCTGATAGTTCCCACACTTAATGTCGCTCTTGACGGCTGAGAAGGTTTCTTGGGTTTCTGAGACAAACCAGAAATGGCAACATTATAAAAATGGATGTTGGCCATAAGTCACCCAGGCTGTAATGTGAGGTACGAATAATGCCCTGTTTTATGGATTTATGTCTGCTCTGTGCTGCTCTGTGTACGACTCTAAGCACATGTGACCACCAACTGCCACATCCCCGCCTAAGGTGCAAACAGTCACTGCCATGTGCTGGATATTTCCGGTGCTGTTTTCCTTGGAGAATTCTCACAGGAAATTCTTTTATTGCTTTCCTGTTTCACTTTACCTCACTTTGCTGTGCTTGATGGAGATGTGTCCATTTCGGCTGAACTGTTATGGAATGTGTTTCTGAAATAACCAGATTTTTCATCTCACTGTTTGGGGGACTTTTGTCATTGGAGCTAATTTGAAGCATCCCAAGGAGATCTTTCTTGGAGCTGGTCTTCAGCTTTTATGCATATGAAAATCATTGCTTTGCAGATTCCTCCATAGTCATCACACGTGCAATGGTACCTTCTTGGTTGCTTTATTACTTGGTAATCAGTTCATCTTATTTTTTTTTTTTTTTTTTTTTACCATTGCACACTGGGCTTTCAGATCCATCTGCACCAGCAGCCCCAGCCAACATTCGGCTGGCAAACTCCACTGTAAACAGCGATGGGAGTGTGACTGTGACAATAGCTTGGGACCTCCCGGAGGAGCCAGACATCCCTGTGCATCACTACAAAGTGTTCTGGAGCTGGACAGTCAACAGCAAGTCACTTATCCCAATGAAGAAGAAGAGGAGGAAGACTACAAATGGGGTAAGTGGGGACAAGAATGAAGAATGGCCTGTTTGCTACTCTAGGTAATGTGTTTGCAGAATGAGCTCTGTTGAGCTCAGAGAAGGAATGGACGATGGACAGCTTGCCTTCCTCTTCATTTTGTTTAACTTCAGAGAAGCAGGTGCATGCTGCTAGAGTTGGCCTATGTGTTCCTCAAAGCCCCATGTATTACACACTTGGTCCTCAGTTTACCATCACTTGGAGTGCTTGATTCCTCAAGATGCCACTGGCCAAAATGTAGAGTACACAGTGTATGTCCCTCACATACCCAGGGCTCAGGGACCGCTGCGGAAGAGGAGGTGAAAAGATTTTAAGAGCCAGGGTTGATTCATGAACACAAGGAAACAGGGTGTTCCAGGCCTCTGGGACCTTGCATATGTCAACTTACAGCAGTGATGTCAGCGTGCACAAGACCCATGCAAACTGGATCAGACAAAAACCAGCGCAGAACTAGGGAACATGGCAGCAGGCTCCAACCTTAGCCAAAGAACGATTGACAGGTGATTACTGCTGGATGAGGGAGAGTTGATCTTCTTTAAAGGCTAAAAATCTAGACAGGGTGAGCAGAGTCCAGTGGGTGAACTTGCACTGAGGGACATCTGGGGACACAAAACTGATTCAATAGGCCTTAATATATATGACAGAATGCATGAAATCCAGTCAGGGGGCTATGTAGGGTTGCAGATGGGCTATAAAGATGATTAAGATTTCTGTATGAAATGTACAAAAATTCAACAAAAGTGTATACATTGAAAAAAAAGAGAAAAAAGAGGCAGGCATCCTGCCAAGCTGAGGAGTTACTGACAGTCGATGGCTGCTTGCGGAAGGAATCCGTTTTCTTTACTGGTGTGGCCTCTGGTAGGTTCACCATGGTCCAGTGGCCCACCATACTCAGGTAGTTAAAAAAGGGAGGCCCGAAGTTGAGATAGAGATGTGGTGGGTCTGGGAGGAATTGGAGAAGGTAATGCGGCTGGATATGATCAAAATAGATCGATTGCCTGTGCGAAATTCTCAAATAATGAATACAACATTAAGATGAGCCGAATATTGACAATAGTTATTAATGAAAGAACAATTTAGTGATATACATTTTTAAATATTTTATTATTTTTATTTTATGTGTATGAGTACATTGCCTGCCTGTGTGTAAGTGCACGGGTATCATGCATTGCCCTTAAAGGTCAGAAGAGGGTGTCAGAAACTCCGGAACTGGAATTTTAGATGATCCTTAGCCACCATGTGGGTGCTGGGAACCGAACCAGGTTCTCTACAAGAGCAGTCAGTGTTCTTATCGCTAAGCTACCCCTCCAACCCCTATGATACACTTTTTAAAAGGAGGTAGGTAGGCTGATCAGGAGGAAGGTAAGTCATTGGAGCATACAGGGTCCTCTTCCTCTTTCATGTGTAGTCTTGGCATCTGTGGGGGTTTGCTGGACCACGCACTCCCACCACGAGCAAAGGGACCAGTGATCCATGGGCTGGAAGTTCCAAAACCATGAAGCAGAGTGCTACTGTGATTTCCCAGAGTGTCTGTTATGCCTAAGACACATGTCAATTCCTCTACCTTTTAAGCCAATTGAATCTACTCTATTTACCTATTCTTTTCCAAATGAGTCACAGTGTCAACTCTGGATGTTCAAGGAACTATTTACAGCATCTCCATCTTACCTGTCTGGCCATAAAAATGAGATCTTGCTAAATTTCCATGCTGCTTAGTTTGATTGTAAAAAATTATTTTGTTATTTTTGTTTTATGTGTATGAGTGCAGCACCTGCATGCAAGTGTACCCATGTCATGCATTGCCCACGGAGGTCAGAAGAGGGCATTGGATCCCATGGCACTGGAATAATGGATGATTGTTTGCCACCGTATGGGTGCTGGGAACCAAACCCAAGTCCTCTGCAGGAGCAGTCAGTGCTCTTAGCTGCTGAGATATCTGTCCAGCCCCTTTGATTTTCTTTTTAAAGAGATGCTTGTAAGTTAAAGAGTAAATATTGAAAGGTGTTTCCAACTGTAATCTAACCAGTGGGAAAGCAGGCAGCTTACAAAAAGTGTCTTTTTCACAAAATGTTGTTCACATTGACTCAAAAAATCTGGAGTGAATTTATTCTCCAGATGCCAAAACCCAAAATCTTCACTGAGCCAACTTGTGCGATGAGGTTTCTATGACAGTGAACATGTTGCATTGTAAGAAGTGTTTTATGGAGCTGGGTATGATGGCACACATCTTTAATCTCACCACCCAGGAGGCAGATGTAGGTGGATCTCAATGAGTTCAAGGCCAGTGGGTTACAGGCCAGTGGGAGCTACAGGGAGACCCTGTCTCAAAAATGAAAAAGCCAAAAAAAAAAAAGTTTTATACATAAAACCCACTATTCTGTTTCCCTTCACTATACATTACATTTGCTTATTTATTTACTAGTTAAGTTGTTTTGGCTTCTTGATACCAGGTCTCCTTGTGCAGACTGGGCTAGCCTGGGGCTCCCTATGTAGATACAGATGGTGGTGATTTTCCTGCTTCTCCTCTCGGGTGTGGGATTACAGATGGGAGCCCCTATTTGACGATTATTGTACCACCATGTATGTAAACACTTTTTTCATATTTACAAAGTTGAACTCCACAGATAAACAAATGGTTTATGATCCAGCCGAAAAGATGAGACCTTTTGTTTGCCTAGAAGACTCAATGCATGGATCATATGAAACCATAAACCATGTCTCTAAGGAGTTCACATCATTGATGTATGCAGCTTTTATAATGTGTTCATTTCAAACAGAATTGCATGCAGTTTCCTCTTTCATGTTGAAGAAAAGCAGTCACAAGCCGTCACTAATCCTACATGCTCACTTTAGAGGAAGGAGCAAATGACCTGGGATTAGCGTGATGTAACACTAACTATTCCCTCCTCGGCGTCCTGTCGACTGGACGGCATTAACCACCAGAACAGCATTGAGGACACAGAAGGAAGTTTTATAATCTGTCTTCCACCATGTGCTCCTGGTGTAAATAAACTGTGAGCGGCAAATTTAGTTAAACTAAATGATTATTATTTGTGATTATAACTAGGATAATTGAACTGTGCTAGAGAGATGGTTCAGCAGTTAAGAACGCTTGCTACTCTTGCAGAAGACCCCAATTTGATTTCCCCTACCCACATGGGAGCTCAGGACAACCTATAACCCCAGTTCCAGATGGTAAATCACACTGTTCTGGCCTCCTTCGGTACTGCATGCACATACACATACTCAAACACAGAAACACATATGCACAAACTTAGTTTTTTGTATATTTTATTTATTACTTTTATCATATGTATGTGAGTGTAGTCCCTGCATGTGTGCCAGTGCACCCATGTTGTGCAATGTCCCTGGAGGTCAGACGAGGGTATCAGATTCCCTGGAACCGGAGTTAGACAGAGGGTTGTGAGCCTCCGTATGGGTGCTACGAACCAAATCTGGATCCTCTGCATAGAGCAGCCACGCTCTCAACTGCCGAGCCGTCTCTCCAGCCGCCATTTCAGTTTTTGAGACAGGGTCTTACTCTGTAACTCAGGCTGGTCAAAACTCAAGATTTTCTTGTTTTACCACCCCAAGTGCTCTGTTTGCCAGTGCACACCACCGTACATAGGCGGCACTAGTTAAGTCTATTATGAGCAGTTCTCTTTTCTACTCAAGGTGGTTTTTAAGAGCGTGGCAGATAAAGCACACTCAATTCCGTGCATCAGACGATCTAAGCAGTATAAATATCACTGCAAATCTACGTCTTCAGCTTTCTGTGAGTGGCACTTTGATCCATCGAGTGCTCACCTGTATAAAGAGTGGGATCTTGGAAATTCAGTACTTAATGCGGGTGAGAATTTGATGTGCTTTACACTGATGTGAAAGACGGGTAACAAAGAGAGCAGGCCTGGATGATTAGTAAGCTGACTTGGCTGTTCTGACTTCGTTTATAGCTGCAGAACTCTGTGGTCCTGGAGGGACTGCAAGCTGGCTGTGACTACACGGTGGAGCTCCAGGCCATCACTTACTGGGGGCAGACACGCCTCAAAAGTTTGAAGGTGTCCTTGTACTTCACGGCGACCCATGCCACTAAGAACAGTAAGTGAACTGATATGTTTCTCAAGTCCACGGTGACTCATTTTGATAAGACTCTTGCTGTATCATATTGGGGCTAGAAGAAGGAGAGAGAGTTATATTGTTTGTGTGTGTGTGTGTATGTGTGTGTGTGTGTGTGTGTGTGTAAACACAAACTTGCCACAGTGCCCTGAGAGTAAGTTTTTAATTTGGAATTATTGTATGACAAATCTTACCATCACTATATCACATATTTGCCGTGTTTCCCTCAGAGTCACGCCATATACACTATCGCCGTGATCCCCTAAGATTACGTTATTTGGTGACAGGACAGTTCCCCTACTTGTATAAGCATATGCTACCTTGTACACACAATTGCTAAAAATAAATCCAACAACAGTAAGTGTGCCCTTATTACTAAGTGGCTGTACATATTTTACTCTTGAAAAACACTATGGCTGGAGAGATGGCTCAGTGATTAAGGGCCCTGGCTGCTCTTACAGAGGACCCACGGTTGATTCCCAGCACCCTCATGATAGCTAACAACCACTCAGAACTCCAGTTCCAGAGAGTTCTTCTCTGGTCTGCCCAGGTTTGCATGCCTATGGTACATTTACATCCATGTAGCCAAAGCACTCATATACATAAAATATAAGTAATTTGATGAAAAGCTGATCCCGTGTTACTTCCCACAACCCACCTGTTTCCACATTCATGCCAGGACTAGTCTTTGTAGGATACTGTTTCCATTTTAGGTGAATATACACAGCTAACTGCCTTTTCTCTCCAGAAAACGTGACCTGCCTGGTTTTCTGTGGCCTATGCTGTGGTCATAATTCACATTTGGAAAGCTACGTACTGTTCCATGGAGCAAATTTAGGAAATACTTCTCATAGTCACGTTCTTTGTTTCTCTTTCTCCTTAACTGGCACGTGTGGAGTAAATGGGACAGCCCAAGAGGACAGCGTTGTGGCACTTATGTCTTAGCTGGGAAATAAGACACTTGATGTCTGTGACTTTGTTCAGCAACAGGCTCCTCGGAACCACCATGCTGAGGCGCCTGGCAAGACTTCAGGGGAATGGGACAGATTAAAAGAGAGGGTGAGGAGGGACCGGGCTCCTTGTCTCAGGGCCCCTGGTGATGTTGATGCGTTAGAATAGAACCCCGCTGTCTATCTTTCTTGCCTTGTGACACTGGGCTTTGTTCAGGAGGGGAACAGGGACACATTAAAAGCTCCTTTGAGTTTCAAAACCATAGTGCTGGCTCCACAGATCAACTGATGGCTCCTAGCTCTCTCCCAGCACCTGGGAGAAACAGTACAAATGCGTAGATCTGTTGGAAACGATGCTTGCCAAAAAATCACCACAAACACAGCTGCACGCTTGCTTGGGAAATTGTGTCTTTGGAGATTGAATGCATTTGGAGTGGTCTGTTTTTAGTGTGTGAATCTAGGTTTGATATTTTTAGCTAAAAATACTCACGGATGTGTTTGTGCTTTACACTTCATTCAGTTTGAATGATGCTCCTAATTCTCAGTATATCTAATGCTGGGAGTCTCTGTATGCTAATACAAACATTTTATATATAATATATATTATATATTCCACATGCATAAATATACATTGCTATAGATACATACTGGCATGTATATTCCATACTTTTTTATAAATAGTGTATGCATATATACGTGCATATGTAATCATGTGTACCCATTTATACATAGAAATGAAGTGCCTGTCAATATCTGTGAGATTAGTTCTCAGACGACCACTCCAGCGCTACCCAAACGTAGCTGCACCTTGACTCATGTTCCTTATATCAAAGAAACCATGAACCATCTTCCCAATGCTTTAACTCCTTGCTACAATGCCTGCAGTACTTGATACACTATAAATACCATGGAAATAGTTGTTCTTTTTCATTCCTTATTTAAAAATGATGAGAAAAGAATGTGTGCTTGTTCTGTATCGATACAGGTCTGATTAAGGCTACAGATGTGGAAAGCACAGATGGTTGATACTCTATGCACATGAGCACACACACACACACACACACACACACACACACAGTTTTTTCTGATTTTTGGAAGTTACAGAGACCTCCTGCAACTTCCTCTTGAGTGGTGAGTGGTGATATTAAAGGCATGGGTCACCACACCCAGCATAGATTTTATTCTTTAGACAGGCTCTCTTTGTATAGTCCAGACTATAGAGAACTGGCAATCATTGTGTTCCAGCCTCCCAACTGCTTGGATTCGCAGTCTGCACTGCAGGGTCTTGCTCTCTTGACATCCCCCGACACACACACACCAATACACATATTTTGCTCTCTTCCTGAAAAATACCTCATGATGAATTGGGGAAATAAAAAAATAAAAGAATTGCACATATCCCTTGTCATTACATTCAGATCTCTAGGAAATAGTGGAAGAAGAATTAAAAATCATGGATGTAGGAAGCGAGACCCTCATCCTGCCATAACAAGTCTAGTCGCACAACAGACCTTCAGGCTCACAAACTGCAAATACCATTGGACACAAAGGAGACAGCGTGTGTCAGTGCAAACAACAGGAAGAACAGACCAGGGCCGGGGATTCAGCCTGGGGAGGAGAGGGGAAGGACAGGAGCCCATTCTGTCCCCTGAAGGTCTCACTGAGCTGCAGAGTTTCACACGCATCCATATGCCAATGACACCCTGTGCCTCTCACCTCTATAGTCACCACCTCCCTAGGATGACAACAGCGGAGTCAGACTTACTGCATTTTTGAGTGTCCCCAAAGTCCGTGTGTTCAAACGATTTGTCTCCTCTCTCAGTACATGGATTCACAGTTCACCCCTTTGTCCAGATAATGCCCAAGAATTCATTTTCTATTTTTCTCTTTCTCTCTACAAATGCATTTCTTCATAAAGTCCCTCAGTCTCTAATTTTCAACAACATGAGATTTGTCTGTTTTTTTTTCTTTTGTTTTCAGACCATGTCATTTCTTGTTAAATTAAGATACTATGTAAATTTATATTCCTGTTCCTACTTTGTTAAGCATTGGGTTTCGTGGAACTGGAGCTAAGGACAGTTGTTAGCTACCATGAGGGTGCTGGCAACTGAACCTGGGTCCCGTGAAAGCACAGCCAGTGCTTTCTAACCACTGAGCCATCTTATATCCCCAGTTACCCAATGTAGTCTTCAAAAAATATCAGATTTCCTTTAGTGCCACTCTTATGAGAACTATCTTTTTAAAAAATATTTTATTATTTTTATTTTATGTGTATGAGTTTACTGCCTGCTTGTAGGTTAAGTGCACCCGTGTCATGCAGTGGGCACGGAGGACAGAAGAGGCCATCAGATCCCTTGGAACTGGAGATACAGACAGTTGATAGCTGCTGTGTGGGTGCTGGGATTCAAACCGGGTCTTCTGCAAGAACAACCAGTGTTCTTAACCGCTGAGCCATATCTCCAGCCCTAGAACTGTCCTTTATCTTTTCTAACGTTCCCAATTTTTACCTTTACTGATAACCATCTAATCCTCCCCTCATTGGGAAATACTTTGTGCCGTTCTGCCACATGCATATGTCAGAAGAAAACTTTCAGGAGTCTTTTCCCTCCTCCCATCCTCAGCCCTGGGGATCGAACTCAGCTTGTCAGGCATGTGAGGTAAATATCTTGGCCCTTATAGTTTCGCCTTTCATTTTCCACCAGTGCTGTAGGGAGTTCATCTACAGTGTAACATGAGCGATGCCTTTTTAGACTTCTTTGGTTCTTCCCATAAACAACATTCTTTCCCCATTAGCAACTGGTATGGGATTACAAACTTCCATAATTTAATATGTGTGTGTTCCCAGAGGCAAGAGGGAAAAAAGACCCAATCTCAACTTGCCATTGTTGAGGTTACACCATCAGGAATCTGGCCGCGATTCAGCCCACACACAAAACGTGTTTGGAACCCTGATTCTCCTTAACACTCTCTCGACTTTCTCCATCATCCTAGGGCACCATCACGCATCCCCGGAAGGTCAATTAAATGTCTAGTGCCTACCATCATCGTCTCACGCCTCACACAGACATCTTAAGCTCTTCACCTCAGGAGGTTAAGTCCTCCACTTTATAGAAACATCCATCCGTTCCTTTGTTAGTTTCCTCTGTGTGCTAACAGTGGATGCATCTTTCACTGTGTTTAGAACAGACGCCACCGTGCATGTTGTACAACTGCCCCTTTTGCAACGCACATATCTACAGTCACATAGGTGCAAATCTCAGTCAGGTCTGAGCACACGGGTGATTCATGTGTGTGCCCACAGCGTCTGTTCTTGTGTCTAGAGTATAATCACTGTGCTATAAATAGTTGCAAAGTCAGTAAAATCCATCCTTGTGCCTTCAGCCTCATCTTACTCTGCGTGGATGTGCTTTGTCTTCATGTAGAAAGCACCTACTTCCTGGAGGCCTTCTTCCTTCTGCCTTCCTCCTCTCCATATATTTTATAAGCTGCTGAAATCTGTTTCCCAGTATCACTTTTCCATGGAAACTACATGTACACATCTGTATGTGGGATGGACATTTTCTGTTTCCATTTTTTTAATTTAAAAAATATTTCTTTTTATGGGGGCTGGAGAGATGGTTCAGTGGTTAAGAGCACTGGCTGCTCTTGCAGAGGACCCTGGTTAGATTCCCAGCACACACGTGGCAGCTAATAACTGTAACTCCAGTTCCAGGGAAATCCAGTGCCATCTTCTGACCTCTGCGGGCATTGCATGACACATGCATGCAGGCAATACACTAATATAAAGAAACTAAATCAAATCAATAAAAATAATAACATATTTTATTTATTGTTGATGTCTGTGTATTTATGATATCTGCATGTGTGCATGCACCTGTCACACAGTGTGTGTGTCTAGAGATCGGAGGACAACTTTTGGGAGTCGGTTCTGTTCTCCCACTTTGCGTCACGGGACTCAAACTCAGGTTGTCAGACATACAAGGCAAGTGCTTTTACCCACTGGGGCATCTTGCAAGCCCTGTTTCTATTTTT